ATAAAGTCAACCAAAACGGTCTTTGAAATGACGCTGCAACGAGAAGGAAGTTTAATGGATCTGGAAAAGAGAATAAAGTCTTTCTCCTTCAGACCAGGAAAATATACGGGGGAGCAGTACAACCAATGTGGAAGAATGCACACAGTCACAAATTTAAGAATCACATTTAGGGGAAAGCCGAGCTTTTTAAGTNTTTTAAGTCTAAAAGCATAGAAGGATATCCGACGAACCCTAGTATAAGTGTTTTCAACATGTTTGGACCAAGAAAGATTGTGTGACAAAGTAACTCCAAGATATTTCACAGAGTTAACTTTGGGGTTCAGGCTGATTACTCAAAAGGGTTTGATAAGACATGCCTGTTTTGAGGATAAAAGGAACATCCACACATTTATCTACATTTAACATTAAAGATCGGGGAGTCGACCAGTTGAAAATTTTATTTAGACAAACTTGAATTTGACAAAAACTATCAGGAAAAGCCGAGGAACAACCGAACACCATGTCATCAGCATACTTGCAGGCGATAAAGTTGGGAGGGATGGGAAGGTCCTTAATATACAGTGAAAAAAAGAAATGGAGACAAAATTGCACCCTGAAAAACTCTAGAGTTAACTTCTATCAGGGAGGAGGATTTACCGTTACTAAAAGTGTATTGCGTCCTATGAGTGAAGTAATTAATTAATACATTCAGCAAATTAGGTGCCAGACCACAATCCGAAAGACGTTGAATGAGAATGCCACGGTCAAGTGATCCGAAAGTATTTACATAATCAAGAAAAGGTAAACGGACGATGCCCGCTCCTTTATTTTATAAGGATGAAACGGAATGAAGAACGTGAGCAACAGCATCAAGAGTGGAAAGCGAATGTTTGTAAGCAAACTGAATAGGGTCATGCGTGACAGATAAAAGGGTCAGCCTGTTAAGAAGGACTCTTTCAAAAACTTTCAATAATGCTGATGTGCAGGCATTCGGTCGCTATTTGGAAGATCCTTTTTTGGGAATTGGCGTTATCCGAGAAGCTCTTCAACAATCAGGAGTGCTCCCAGATGACATACACAAATTGAACAACTCGGAAATAGGTGAAACAAGGTCTTCAGCACACTCAGTAGGAACGGGGACAACGAATCAGGGCCATGTGCCTCGCTAGATTTCAGGGACTTCAGTACATTCGGGACTTCCACGGGGGTGACAGATTGGTTCTCCCCAGTAGATGTAAATAGAGATGATGTTGAGATCCGTTCAGTATCATTTGCGAATTGACGATTTAACTCCTCAGCATCCGGAAAAGATCTGTTGCGTAATCCAAAGAGCTGCTTCAAAGCAGACCACATATCGCGGCAGCTCTGGTTTCCCATAAGAGTTTCGATATACATCCGATTTAGACGCTGTATTTCCATTTTGATCAATACTGATAGACGTTTGGTAGCACTGCGCCTTCCAGTCCTGTAAGCCTTTTCTTTATCGCGACGAAGCCGATTTAGAAGGGGCGAAGAGAATCTGTCAGTTCGAATATAAAAGTTCTAAACTGGGCAACTGAAATCATAGTAAAAATTAAGATAACATGTAAGTTGATCACAACTGGATGAGTTTTCAGCATTGGAAAGACAGTTAAATCGGGAAATGAAACCATATCTCAAAGTTTGGATAAGTTTTCAGAAGTGCAACTTCTCCTTCTGATGTTTCTGGATGTGGAACGGTTCATATGGTGATGAAAATATTTACCGTAAACCTTGGGGTGCAGGAAAATAGAGCAGTGTTCGGAGCTACCTATGGAAGCCCGCTCCTCAAAAAAAAGATATCGGGGCTATTTACAAAAATCTCGTCAAGTTGGACACCAAGCCGGGTAGGACAATGTAAAAGATTTATCAGCCTAAAGTTGTAAGGAAAGAGACATTAAAACGATTAAAATCATCAACAGCCATGCATAAAGACTGGTCTAAACCGGTTACAAGTTGTGAAGAGGAGTCGACAAACAGACGAACATCAGAGGCAGGCGTGTCAGGAGCGATGTAAATGTTCGCTAATGTAATGTGATGAAAGTGACTGATAAATCGGGGATTACAATAAACCAAAATACAATTTATCTTGGGAGTACTAAAGTGAAAACATTTACAAGCGTTTTTGCACCACATCCTGTTGACGAAAGTGACCACTCCACCATCTCTATGAAGGAAGTTCACACTACGATCGCCTTGGAATATGTCAAATCCATCAAGATGCGCGACGTTGTCCTCAATATCAGGATGTAGCCAGCTTTCCTGGAGTAGAATTGCCCCTACACTCTTGCATTCCTTCTGGTGTATCATGCTCTTAACATCATCGAGTTTTCCCATGAGCGAACGAATGTTACATGAGATAATAGACGGAACGGTCAAATTATCAACAGAACGCCGCCATAGCACCACATGCCAACCAGCACGGTTTTCTATGGTGTCCTTGAACAGATTTTTGCAGTCGTTTGAAGCGATTTCTCAGAGAATGGGCAAAAATCAGAAGCTGATGTTTCTGCTCGATAAACTGCAAGGATTTGAAAAATCTGGTGTTGTAGGACATTTGACCTTGAGAACTTACCGAATTGATTCAAAAGTGATGACCACGCGTTCCTTCCCTGTAACTACGAAATAATATTCCACGATAACAAGACACGCCTAAATTCAAAGGCCCCGCGGTGTCTCCAGTCAACGAGTCCCTTGGAAAACCAACGTAGAAGACTAGAAACACCTACCTTGCCTAATCGCTCTGTGCATTTCTTATGGTCTCGTTTCTGCGCCACCTAATGAGTTCCGCGTGATTCATTCCAACCTTGAGCCGCAACAGTGAATAAGAGGCGATGTGTCAGATGACAGCTGAGTACACGAATCTGAATTTGTTAGGATAACGCATTTTCCCCCGAATCATTACTAATACTCGTTGGTTTACCTCAACGTTGCTAATACGATCGCTCCGTCCGAAGTCAACACCGATATTTCAAGACCTCAATGGGTTAACTTAGAGTGCCACAACCGCGGAGCAGAATGGACCGCACGGTGCACACCACCTTATTTAAAAGGAAAAGTCAGGCAGGCACCAAAGACGTTTCAATCCTGCGAACGCCGCTCGAGCCTTGCAAATACGAGCAGTTACCTGCTTTACAACACCATCGACACCTGTTGTGCAACTAAATAAGAGAAGCAACCCACTGCAACTAGTTCCTGACCATCAAACGTCAGAGCAGTGGAAGCCGACATCCGGTATTGCAGCACCACTCTACAGATTTAGTCGATGCAACCCGACCTGGTTGGAACACTGCTTATTGTTCACAAATATTCGCCTCCATTAAAGGAATCAGGCTGCGATGCACTGGAGAAGCTAATGGTTTGATGGCCGCAACTGAACTGAAATCCCACGAGAACATGCGCAGTCTCTGCATAATCGCAAAGATCAATAATTTGCCGCAGGATATGCCCTTGCAAACAAATGCTATGTAGTACTAAAACAATCGTCCATGAGAGAATCGTACTCCGCCCTCTATCGACAAAAGGAGAGAAGCCGGTCAACCCGCCCCATCTCTAGAGATTGAATACATCTTACTGAAAGGGTCTACATGTTTACCGCCCACGGAGTTTCCGCTGCAACGGCCAGAACAACTGGGGGAGGCTCTAGACCAGCTGAATATTCCGCCAAAATACTCAACACAGCAATCAAGCCTCTGTTCCTCATTTTGTTAGTCGCAAATAGTTTTACTGACCGGTATGTGACGTCCTGCAAGGATGCGCATAAAGTGAAGCCTAACCGTTCCCCGATGTAGCGGCTACCTCTCTTTTACTAGCTTTTTGGACCCACCACTTGTCACGATCTGCGTTGGCGTTGCAGGCGCCACCTGCTTCGGTGTTGACTATTGCAGATTGGGAAATCTAGTTTATTCTTCCTCAGGACTCCATGATCGACAGAGATTCGTGCAGCGTCTTTTTTATTTTGGCCAATTTTGTTGAATAAATAATGTTGCAACTTTCAGGAAGGTTGAAGCGGACAATCGACGGGCTGTCATACAATTCAAGAATTTTGTTTTCAGTTTTCCTCCCCCACTGTATGCCGTAGAATGATGAGGCTACTCCCAAGAAG